GCCACTCTCGCTCTTCTTACCCTTTCCCTCACATGTTCTTTATCCCCACCATGTCTTGTTATCCCATACCCTAAATATTTATATTCTTTCACTTCCCCTATTTTTTTATCTCCCCACCACCAGAATCTCTCTTTCTCTCTTCCTCCCTTATTTTTGAACACCATCACCTTAGACTTCTCGACACTCAATTCTAGCTTTTTCCCTTCTATATACCTTTTTACTCTCCTTATCATATCTCTTAATCCTTCCTCTTCTTCCGCTAGCAGCACGATGTCATCCGCATACTCTATTGACCACATCTTATCATTTCCCACCATAATCCTTCCCTTCCCTTTCTTTAACTCCTCCTCAATGTCCGCCATATATATGTTAAACAGAGTCGGACTCATTGGGCAACCCTGTCTTACCCCCTTCTCTACCCAGAATTCCTTTGATACATTCTCCCCTATCCTCACAACACATCTCGTCTCCTCGTAAATCTCCATCACTCTATCTATTAAACTTTCATTCACCCCTCTTTTTCTCATCATTTCCCACAGAACGTTTCTATCCACTCTATCAAAGGCTGCCTTTAAATCCATGAAAAATGCCCATACTTTCTTTTTCTGATTTAACCTTCTTCCAACTACATACTTCAAGATCATAACATTTTCCACTGTTCCTCTTCCTTTCCTAAAATCAGCCTGCGACCTACTCCACCCTTCCTTCACATCCAGCTCTTTCACTAACTTTCTGTTTAAAATATTCGCATATATCTTATACCCCGTACTCGTCATCGTTACCCCTCTATAATTTCCGGGCTCCCTTCTCTCTCCTCTCTTCCATATCGGTACAACCACTCCTACTCTCCAGCTCTCTGGGAACCCTTCCCCTTTCCATACCCCCTTTAATATCTTCTCCAAACTCTTCCCAATTATTTCCCCTCCTTCCTTCCATGCTTCATTCTTTATTCCATCCAGTTCTGCTGCTTTCCCTCTTTTTAACCTTTTTATTTCATTTTTTACCTCTTCTATCCCTATTCCCTCATCTCCCATCCTGTCCGCTTCCCGTATTTTCTTTCCCTCCCCTTTTCTTTCCTCAATTCCTCCTAAGCTTTCAGTGAAGTACTTGACCCAGACCTCCATTTCAATTTCTTTACATACTCCCTCCCTTTTCTTTCTCCCTCTGTTTATAAATTTCCAAGCCTCTGCTTCTGTCTTTATATTTTGTACCTCCTTTTCCTCCCGTCTCTTCTGTTCCCTCTCTTTCTCTTCACACAACTTTCTATACTCCTTTTTACGCCGTACGAATTCTTCATACCTTCTTTCTTCCTGTTCTCTTCTGTACCGTCTTCGCGCTCTATTCATCTCTCTTTTTTTTCTCTGCACTCTACATCCCACCACGGGCACCACCCTATCCCTTTTCTCTTCCCCCTTTTTTTAAACTCTACCGCCTTATTAATTTCTCTTTCCAACTCTTCCCATCTCTCTCTCAACCCTCCACCTATCCATTCTACCTTTTCTATTGCCTTCCTGTACTTTTTCGTCCCCTTCTCTGTCCAGTCCTGAAATCTTAATTCTTCCCCTACCTTCTCTTCTTCCCTTTCATAATATGTCCCTAACTCTATCAGAATTGGCTGATGGTCCGACTCCCCCCTACACCCTACCTCAAATCTCCTTACTCTCTCCCATGCTTCCCAGTTCACTATACCAAAATCAATTACTGACCTCCCTCCTCCCTTCTCATAGGTCCACTCCCCCTTCTCATCCCCTTCCTTTTCTCCATTCATAACCATCCATCCTCTTTCTTCTATCACTTCCATCAAATCCCTTCCTTGCTTATTTACTACTTTATCTTTGGACTCTCTGCTAGCTTCCTCCTTTGTTCCGTCTCCCTCTATACTTTGTCTATTCCACCCTCCTTCTTTCCCTATTCTAGCATTAAAATCCCCCGCTATCATTAACATTCCCTCTTCCTCTTCTTTAATCACCTCATTTAGATCAACCAGACATTCTTTTCGTCCCTCCCTATTATACACTGTTACAAATCTCCACCTCTCCCTATCTATAACCACTTCCCTTTCTTGTATACCATCCTTCTCCTCATACTCAATCTCTCTTTCCTCCAGCTCCCTTCTCACTCCAGTCACAATTCCCCCTTTCGCTCTTCCCTTTCTTCCCTCTCTCCTGCCTGGCACTTCCAACGCCATCCTACCGACATTTTATCTTTCATCTTCCCCCACCCGCTTTCATCCACCCACGTTTCCATCAAACCAACCACATCAAAATCGTTCAAGAATTTCCAAAAATCCTCGTCCTTCTTTTTTAACCCTGCAACATTCCATACCACCCACCTAACTCTTTTCCCTTCCCCAATACCTCTCCCACTCCTCGACCTTCTAGTGGATTCCGTTTTTTTCTCATTTACACTGTAAGCACTCTTTAAAAATTCACTTCACCCATACACCCTCTTTCACTCTTCCATTCATACTCTTTTCCATTTAACCAACCCCTCCCAAACCCTACTTTCACACTCTTACCCTTGTCTCTCTCATTTTTTGCCCACCTCCTAATCTCCCTCTGTCTATCTCTTTCACTCTTCGTCATGTCATCATCCACATACACTCTCGATCCTCTCAATTTGCCTTTCTTCTCCATTATCCTTCGTTTATCATACATACTGTTCAATTTTACCATTATCATACTCTCTCTCTCTTTCCCTCTAATCATAAATGCATCCTTCACATTTATTTCACTCTCATTCAATCCTATTTTCTCAAACACACTTCCCACCATCTCTCTAACACTCCCTCCCTTTACTTCTACCCCTTTTATAACAATATTTAATCTTCTCTCTCTTCTTTCTTGGTCGCTATTCTTCTTCTCCATCTCTTGTACTTTTTCTTTTAGTTCTTTTATCTCATTCTCTAATTTCTCTGTTTCCTTTCTTTCTTCTGCTCATATTTTTTCAATCTCTTCCTTCATTTCCTTTTTTCCTCTCCTTATTTCCTCCCCTGTTTGTTCTATTTTTTCCATAATTTCTCGTTTCGTTTCATCCAACAATCTTCTCATAATCTCTACCATTTTCTCCATTCTCCCTTCTGTCTTTTCTTTTCGCTCTTCTTTAAAATCCACGTTCACCTTCTCAATCTTTACCCTCTGCTTTTTCTTTTCCTTTTCCTCCTGGTCCGAATCGGAGTCACTTCCTCTATTGCATTTCGATAAATGCGAAACAATACTCGCACTGCTGTCCCTTCTCTCTCGACCCAGGCTCACCGCCTTAGTCGGTCTGCCTCTTCTTCCTTTCTCCGCTCCGCTCTTGTCTTCCCCTTTCTTTTCCCCCCTTCCCTTCACTACGCTTCCTTCTCCCCACTTGCCACTCAGCCACTCCTGCACCTTGTCCCCACCTGCCTCTACCGGCTCACCTAAAGTCTCGGCTTTCTCTCTCTCACTCTCCGCTCTCTCATTCATTCCCCTCCTCACCCCGCCTTCCTCTGTGCTTATGCGCGTACGCTCCTCGACACCGCTCTCCTTCCCGAGCTCGTCCCAGCGCTCGCGCCGGAATTCCTCGCTGAATTCGCTTCGATTGCGAATCCCAATGTAAGCTTTCTATTTAACTTTCTCTCTCTCTCTCTCCCTCTCTCTCTCTCTCTCACTCACTCACTCACTCACTCACTTCCGTTCCCCTGGTACTCTCGTCACTGGCGATTTCAAACCCGCGCTTGCGCGGCCCGACTCCTGGCCTCGTGTCGCCCGCTGTACATACAGGGCCTCGACGGTTGCCACCAAAAAACCATCCTTCCGGTTCTTTCGGCCGACCCAGATGTTCTCGATCGATGTCGGATGCTGACACTTCGATGCTTTTAGGTTAGGATGCCCTCTTCGATATCACACTCTCTTTCGCTCGCCCTTCGATCCGTAAAACGAGCTATTTTTTTTGCTTAGCTCAAGGGTTAACGACTCCCGTCGCCTGTAACACAACTCCCCGAGGGGAAAACTCTCTACAGGACCTTTAAATCCACTTTTTTATCCTCTACAATATAATGCGTGTATCACCACTCACCTCGCAAC